AAAAAAAAAAGAATGCCTGTCGCTATGACTCCACGCGTGTATCCTTTGATACGAAACGAAATCCAATCTAGCTGACGAGACGTGCACGTGTTTTAATTTGAATTTCAAAGTTCGTCGCGAATTTCGTCAAAATGCTGTCACCCCTCGATGAAACAGAGCAGAAGTTGCGCGATTGCCCGGCATAATCGCATCCTTCGACGTACGAATCGGACGTGATTGTTGCAATTTGCAGCGCGGATTTCGAGAGAAGCATAAATCTGGCGAGAGCCTTGAGCCCTGCATATTTACGATTCGGAGGACCACGTAATTCCCTCTACTACTTTACCGAGTCGAATTCTCAGGACGCCGATGACGAGAGAAAGATAGTACTATCTGGTGAGCTTAAACGTCATCTCCCTTTAATCCTTTCTCGTTATTTGAATAAGTCGTGTATATATGTATGTACTAACTAACCTGTAAATGTATTTGTCTTTGGTAACGCTGATCTCATGTTTTCATGCACTTCTTCGATAAAAAAAAAAAAAAAAAAAAAAAAAAAAGAAAGATTCAAATTAGATTCAAATCATTATCGGGCATAATCATACCTTTAAATATCTCTTAAATTTCATCGCGAAATCTAGGTGATTCTTTGCTAAAATTACGTAGCTTTGCCTTTTCCAACAATCCGCCCCTTAAAAAATATAAAATCGACTTAACCCCTTGCGCTGGCAACTGGTTCACGTGACCGAGCCATATACAGTAATATGTCGCTTTCCTTTCCAACACGTCGGAAATGATATCACTAACAATAAGTTCAGCGTCGTTTCCCATTTTACAGCAAGGATAGAAATCACTAAGTAACAAATTTATTATTCGTTATTTTGCCTGGGTTATATCCAAACCGAGAAAATATTGCGAACTTTGGGACAAAAAAAAAAAAGACTCTCGACGTGCGTGACACGTGGTTCCAGGTTAAAGGCACTTGATACCGACAATGAAAAATGTAACACGATCCAATTGAAAAGCACAGTACACTCGAGTAGCCGGCTAATAAATTCTTCTTCGATGTGTCTTGCTAATTTAATCGCGATACTAGTCGATACATATATATATACACCGAACGTTATCACGGTTAATTTAGGCAGTAATGTAACGGACGGCGGCCTACAAAGGATCCTACATGCATCCGTTCACTCTAAAGTTGCATTAACGAGGAAGCGGCTACCACACACATCTTCCTCGGCCAATTTCGCGGCCGATGCAACACCGTGGTCAGCCAGTTGCAGAAACTGCCTGAATTAACTTAAACAATGCTTCATGCGCCAGTGCGCGTCCATACGCTAGCCGAGAGATGTTTTGAGAAGAGAAACGAGAAGGTTTATGTACCTGCCATAGTTGTACACACGTGTGTATCACGTATCACACATCATCGTTATCCTATCTCGAGTAGCTGAAGACACCTATTTCGTACCTCGCGTTGCTTCAACCACTCCCTCGCTGATTACCTGCAAACGTAACGGCGTCCAAGGTGCGAACCCTAGCCACCGAACGAGCTTAGTAATTTAACAATGTCGGTACGTTTTCTGCACGACGTAATCGGACGCCAAATTCTCCTTCTCTCTGTTTTCCACCTGAATTGAATCTGACACTTTTCAAAGGGTCAAAGGAGCAAGTTGGGCCGAATTGGCGAGGTTGTAATTGGAAAATTCGGAGATTGTAAGAAATTGTTTGATGATACAATGAACTAATTGGAATCTAGAACTTGCAATAATGTTTGATTAATTTAACTCGAATCATTGATTGAAAACTGATTGATTCTAGAATGATGGATACTAGTGTGAAAGTAGCTTTTGCACGTGTGTGTTTATATGTAAATTCATCAAATTTTTTATTACTGTATTTTATATA